TAGAAAAATAAAGAAAGAATCCGAATTCAAATCGAAATAGAATTCGATGGACAACATTTTTTGCGGATTTTGATTTTATCATATCTTTTGATCCAGAAGTCCAAATAAGTCATATAATATGTCGTTTGAAAGCTCTTGAAGTCTACTTTCCAACCCAATTAAAATCATATCAAAATATTATTTAGATAAAAAGATATATCCAAAATAGTGGAAGGGTTTCAGTTTTTGATAGAGTTTTATATCTCATTCATATCTTTTTCGTTATAGCTCGGATTTAATATTATAATATATCATTGGAAAGATAATTTCAAGATCTATCTAACCATATAAAATTTGGATAAAGATTATGAGGCACGAAAATAATATCTGACTATCTTTGAACATTTTTAAATTCAAATATAATAAGGATTTAAGAAAAAAAAAGTTTTAAAAAAGGAAAGTTTTTATTTAACTCAAATTCTTTAATCTTATCTTTTCAAAAAGGATAATTAAGATCTTTTAGAAACTTATAGATGCTTTTAATTAATCCTAATTAGTTTAGGAATAGGATTAAACCTTTGGACCCTCCACATGATCATTGGGTCGTAGGTAAAATCCGGTTTGGACCCAGTTTAGTATTTTGGCCATAACTTCCTCATTATTCATCGGAATTGGGCTTATAATATACCGTTCGAAATATCTTTTCAAACCCCATCCAAGTACACCATTATTGGACCCATATCATGGACCAAACTAAACTGGAATGCACGTTTTTCATAAATAGGGTGAGAAAAGAAATATTTTCAAAAACAAAAAGAAGAGATATTTTAATAAAAACATCCTCATCACTAGACTTTTCACACTTTTGTTTTGTTTGATAATCAAATGACATGAAAGGTATTCATCACTGGGTTTGGTTTTAGGGAGACACAAATGGGTGTCTACAATTATTATTATTACTAATATTATTATTATTATTATTATTATTATTATCTTTATTATTGTTATTATTATTATTAAATATTAATTATTATTAGTATTATTATTAGTATGTATTTATTTTATTATTATTATTAGTATGTATGTATTTTATTATTATTATTATTATTATTATTATTACTACTACTACTACTACTACTACTACTACTACTACTACTACTACTACTACTACTACTACTACTACTACTACTATCGCATTTTTATTATAATCATTAAATTTTTAAAGTTAAATATTAATTATTATTATTATTATATTAATTATAATAATTATTTTTATTAAATATTATTATTATTATTATTATTATTATTAAAAATTAATAATTAGTATTATCTTTAAATAAAAGTTATTATCTTTATAATAATTGTTATTATAAAAATCAATTATTGTTATCATAATTAATATTATTAGTTATAAGTATTATTATTAATATTAGTATAATTACTATTATTATTACTGTTATTATTATTATTAAATATTAATTATTATTATTATTAATATTATTATTATTATTAATTATTAATAATTTATTATTATTATTATTATTAAATATTAATAGCTAATTATATTTTTTTATTAAATATCAATAATTAATTATTATTATTATTAAGTATTAATTATTATTATTAAATATTAATTATTTATTATTATTAAATATTAATTATTTATTATTATTCTTATTAAATATTAATTATTATTATTATTAAATACTACCTCCGTTAAATGTTATGTGCAACTTTGGGGTATTATTTGTGAGATATAAAATATTCCAAAGTTGCACATAACACTTAACGGAGGTAGTATTAAATATTAATTATTTATTATTATTATTAAATATTAATTATTATTATAATAATTCAATATTAAGTATTAATTTTAAGTAGAGCAGAGCAGGACAGATTGAAGTAGAGAACAGCAGAGCAGATTTCAGCAAAGCAAAGCAGAGTAGAGCAGAGCAGAGAAGCTCTAGAGAACGGGGCCTAATAAAGTCTACTCTACTCTACTTTACCCTACCCTACTTAAAAGCTCAAAAGAACAGGGCCTTAGTCATTTACAATCAAATACATACTAATGCAATAAATTTTATAAAGTTAATGTGTAACTTGACCTTACATTAGAAAAAAGATAAAGGGGGAGCGATTTTGTTTTGAGTAACTAAATTGGAGATTAGAGGGAATTGAGTTTATATAGTAGAGAATTGTTCTTTAGTTTTGAATTTTTTTCGATATCTGAAATATTACATATATATTTTAGTAAAAATTTTAAATTACCACCCAATTATGTATCCGTTTTTAAAATAATCACCTGTTTGATTTTTTTATTTTATTTTACCACCTCTTAAATTAAAAAAAAAAAAAAACTACTCAGATTATACCCACTACAAAATTCTGGTGGATTTATAGCATGTGGACCTAGCCAATGGCTAGTAACGACTATGTCTAAGCATTACAATCAACCATGTCTTCACTCCACCTCCCCTTTAAACCAATTTATTAAGTACAAGACAACCTAAAACCAAAAGAAAACAAGTAAAAAAAAACCAAGACCTTGTTATCTGAATTGCCACTACTACTGATCATGTTCTTCCTGTTACCACTAAAAGTTGTTAGGTGGGGCCCACATAAGAGAAATCCACCGGAATTTTGAAATGGGTGGTAATTTGAGTAGTTTTTGAATTTAAGGGGTGGTAAAATAAAAATAAAAATTTAATGAGTGATTATTGTGAAAATGGATACATATTTGGGTGGTAATTTAAATATTAATTTATATTTTAATTTTGATATTTTAAAATATAAGTTTTAAACAAATGTAATACACCCAATTTATTAGATACTTGGACCATATTCGTTATCCAATATTCGAAATTCGACTTATTGGATATAAATCAGAAATTAATATCGGATCGGATATTTTAGATTATCGGATCGAATTTTTGGATATAAGAAGGTTTTGTGTGAGTCCGTTTCACGTGAGTCCACCACCACTCCACCACCACCAACCCAAAAGAGCCCAAACCCAGATCGGTCCTCCTCCACCCTCCTCAACCTAGAAACGCAGCAATAATTAACAACCCACCTTCCTCAAATCGCAGCAATTGAACACCACCGTCATCGAACTCTAAACGCTAGACTCACCGTCAGTGTGCTGCGATTTGGCTGTGCTTTGATGGCCACCACAAGCAGTAAGGTTTGGAAGAAGACCATCAAGTGGACGTATACTCAGCCTGTCTCGAGACAGCGATACAAACATGTCGGTTGGCATGGATTACACGGTGGTGATGCCACCAACACTAGATAACCAACCAGGTGTTGAGCAAGGGACAAGAAGAACCTCTAACTCTTCGGCTTCTACATCTCCAATAAGTCTATGTTAATGAGAAGCCAAACAGGGGATTTCAGCCATAATCAATGGCTTTTCGAGACTAAAGGCAAGTATGGGATTGGGACTTCCTGTTGGTCGGATGAAGAAGATTAACCTTTGGGTTGTTGAGGAGAGAGAAACAGAGGAAGGAAGGAGGGGTTTTAATAATACTTGACTATTATAATCTTGTTAGAAGACAATGTGAATGCCAATCATTGATTTAATGTTGTAATGTTCATATAAGTCCAACCCTTGTGAACTAATATGTCTATATGTGTGTAATTACTGTACCCTTAGTTAACACTCATGGTTATATATAAAGAGTGTCATACACAAGAGAAAATTTACCGGAGCAATATATACTATCAATTTCTCCATCTTCTCTTACTCCTTTATAAAACTTTCTATCGGTAAAACTTTAACACGTTATCAGCACGGTTTTCCAGTCAGGTATATTTATACCTACTTCTAAAAATTTATAACAAGTAATATTATCTACATCTAAAATGTTTTGAGGAGTATGCTCTATAGTTGCCCATATTTGGGATCCTCTATACCAGAAACTCAAACATTTACTATATTATATATACCTCAAAAACAACGGTGAAAAAAAATAATTTCTTACTTATAAATTCATTACTATCCTCTTTGTTTGTCACGTTGATGTTTCTTGCTTTATTCATGTTGATGTTTCTTTGTTTGATTCATGTTGATATTACATACTCATGTCTTACGTAAATTTTGATCTTAGTTATTATAATTGCTTAGTAGTAACTTTGCATGCATATTACTAACTAGATTAACAAAAAGATGCAGCCTTTTATACTTATTATTTTTCTTACTTTTACATACTTTTTGTGTTTCTTTCCGTTTTCGAACCCATGATCTCTTGTAGATATTAGGGCTCTCGGACCACTATGGCTTGCATTCCCAGTGTGATAACCTTTTACAATTATAAATACATATATTTAGACCATAATTTTTGTCAGTATATTAGATTATTATATGATATTTTTTTACAGTTGTACAGAATAGTAACGGATAAACCTACCTCTATAAAAGGCAGATTTTTTCCCCCGATTTCACCACAAATCCCTTATCCCTTCCTACTTTTTATCCAAAAATTACCTAAAATTTTATCACCCCCTTTCTTCTTTGATATGTTCCCCGACGACGGCAATCAAAACACCCACAACTTCACTTTTGAGGAAGATTTAATGAAGATAAAACAATATTTCCTTCTAATTACGACGCTTGTAATTTTATTAGTAGCAATATTAATTTTTGTCATTATGTATAAGTAAAACTCACTTATTTTGTCGTTTTATTATATTAAAAGCTTGTTTTTGTTTTATTATGTTTGTTTGTTTTTATTAATCATCATCGTATAATGTTACCGTTTTCATTATAATTATTGTTACTACTGTTATTGTTGTTGCTTTGCTGTTTTTTTAACTAACATGATTAATTTTTTCCTAATCATATAATTACTCACAATAATAAACCAAGGGGGAGAAAAGACTATATTATTTATGGTTTATTATTAAATTTAATTATCACGTGTTTTATTAACTTAATTATAAATATAGAAGAACTAAACATGTGAGTTGTACATATAATTTGTTATTATAAACTAATTATCACGTAATTTGTTGTAGCTAAAATGGGAGACCTTATGAAAAGACAGTTCAGCATCTTAGATTTATCTGGAAAGAAATTTCTGGAATGGAAAGTGGATGCAATGATGAATTTGAAAGCTCAAGGCTTGGAGCACACCGTTAAAGAAAATAAAAGTCCCTCTGGTCAAACAATTGATACTACCACTTCTGCAATGACTGTTGTAAAACCTGTTACTGAACAAAATAAGACAAAAGCCTTAGTGTTGTTAAGACATCATTTACATGAAGGCCTTAAAACTGAGTACATGATGGTTGAAGATCCCAAAGAATTATGGGATTGCCTTAATGAAAGATTTGGACACCACAAAAGGGTGCTCCTTCCTAAGGCATTATTTGACTGGACAAATTTACGGTTCCAGGATTTCAAATCTGTAATTGATTATAATTCAACCATACATGAGATAGTGTCTATATTGAGATATTGTGATCATCCAGTTACGGATGAACAGATGATTGAAAAAACACTCACTACCTTTCATGCAAGCAACATACTGTTGCAAGAACAGTATCGTGAAAGAGGTTTTAAAAAGTTCAATGAATTAATGAGTGTATTGCTTGTTGCGGAACAAAATAGTGAACTTCTGTTGAAAAATCATAACTTGAGACCAACTGGGTCTTTGGCCACTCATCATGAGGCAAATGCAACAAATTCTTATCCACCCGAGTCAAATGCTACACGAAGAGGTGGACGTGGAAATTACAATGGTCGTGGAAGAGGCCGTGGAAATTATCGCGGCCGTGGCCGTGGTCGTGGTAGAAACAATTTTCAAAGAAATAGTAATTTTAAAAATTTTGAAAAACAGAAGGGACAGTCATCTAGAAGCCACAAACAAACTCCTTCGAAAGGAAAAGACACATGTTATAGATGTGGCATGACAGGACATTGGGGACGTACTTGTCGTACGACCAAACATTTGGTAGACCTTTACCAGGCTTTTGTAAAAGGCAAAGAGAAAAATGCAGAAGCAAATTATGTTAACGAGGAAAATAATCCTTGTCCCAGCCTTGATGTGTCTGATTATTTCATGGATAATGCTGAAATTGGAATTTCATTCTCGGAGAAAACAACAACAATGCTTAGGTTTCCCATCTACTAATGTAACATATGCTATGTTTTAATGTATTTTCTTTATGTCCTGTATTTTAAATTTCTAGTCATGTACTTTTAATCTCTATCATCAATAAAAGTTTGTATAATATTACTCTAAACTAATCTCAAATTTATTTTATAAAGATATGGATCTGCCTGAAGTTAGTTCCGAATATCAATGACTTTTGGACAGTGGAACAACACGTACTATCTTAAAGGATAGAAAATATTTTTCACAACTAAAGTTGTTTCAAGCAAATGTAAACACCATTTCCGGGTCAGCTAAATTAATTGAAGGATCTGGAAAGGCTTGTATAATGCTTCCAAATGGAACAAAATTAATAATCAATAATGCTTTTTATTCGAGTAAATCTCAAAGAAATCTCATAAGCTTTAAAGATAAACGCCAAAATGGCTATCATCTAGAAACAATGACGACATATCAAAAGGAATATATATGCCTCACGGCAGAAAAACATGGCAAGAAACATATATATGAGAAATTGCCAGCATACTCTTCGGGGTTATATCGTATAAACGTACGACCCGTGGAAATTAATATGGTATCTAACCAGAAGTTAGATGACAAACATTTGATTATTCTATGACATGATCGTTTGGGGCATCCAGCAACTGGGATGATGCAAAGAATAATAGCATATTCAGTTGGACATTCAATAAGAAATGTCAAAATTCCCCGATCAGATGAATTAACATGCTCTGCATGTTCACTTGGCAAATTAATAATAAGGCCATCTATGAACAAAATTGCTACTGAATCTCCAAAATTCTTAGAAAGAATTCAGGGAGATATATGTGGGCGAATTAATCCAGCATGTGGACCATTTCGATATTTCATGGTTTTAATTGATGCTTCCACACGATGGTCACATGATAGTCTGCTTTCAAGTAGAAATGTTGCCTTTGCAAAATTACTTGCCCAAATCATCAAATTAAGAGCACAATTCCCAGATCATACATTAAAGAAAATAAGACTTGAAAATGTTGGGGAATTTACATCCCAAACATTTAATGAGTATTGTATGTCAATTGGAATTGATGTCGAACACCCAGTAGCTCATGTTCATACACAAAATGGTCTAGCTGAATCACTAATGAAGAGATTACAATTGATTGCAAGACCATTATTAATGAGGTCAAAATTGCCATCATCTGCTTGGGGACATGCTATAATACATGCAGCAACGCTAAATAGATTGAGACCTACAGCTTATCATAAATTCTCACCACTACAACTTGTTTGTGGTCGAGAACCAAGTATCTCACATCTAAAAATCTTTGGTTGTGTTGTATATGTTCCCATTGCTCTACCCCAACGAACAAAAATGGGTCCACAAAGAGGGCTGGGAATTTATGTCGGGTTTGAATCCCCCTCTATAATTAAATACCTTGAACCATTGACTGGTGACTTATTTACGGCTAGATTTGCCTACTGTCACTTTAATAAAACAGTATTCCTAGCCTTAGGGGAGAGAAAGTGGACCCACGTAAGAAAGAAATTGAACTTATTTGGAATGCAACACAACTGTTGATGTTAGACCCACGAACAAACATGTGTGAACAAGAAGTCAAGAAAATTGTTCATTTACAAAGTGTTGCAAATCAATTGCCTGATGCATTTGTAGACACAAAGAAGGTGACGAAATCACATATACCAGCAGAAAATGCCCCTGCACGTATTGAGATTCCAACTGGTAATAAGGCCATAGAAAGTGAATCTCAAGCACGCAGAAAGCGTGGGAGACCACTTGGTTCAAAAGATTCTAAACCAAGAAAAATTGAAAAGATTGGATGGAATAGAAAATGAGACCAATAATGTTCCCCCGTTAGAAGGTCAAGAAAGACCAAATGTGGATGAAAGTAAAGAAAATGATGATAATCTAATAGGGCACGAACAAGAAGACAACCCTACGGGGAATGAACAAGACATTCAAAACATCGATAACAATGAAATTTCAATGAATTACGTCTCTACAAAGACTCAGTGGAATAGGAAAGATGTTATCATGGATGAAATATTTGCAAATTCCATCGCAATCGACATTGTATCTGATGAAAATGATGTTGAGCCAAGAACAGTAGAAGTGTAATCCCCCGTATTTTTAAATATATTATAAATGAAATTATATTTTATTTATAATATTTATTTGTATTTTTCCGGAATTTAATTTCAAAAGTTTCAAATTATTTTGGGTGGAAAATTATTTTTATTACAATATGATTTTTATGAACCATCATTATATAATTCATGTCCAAACAATCAAAGTCAATCTCACTTTACATACTTGATTGACCCATTAATTTTATGAGGCCCAATCTTACAACTTGCCCTACACCACTCTCTCTCCTATAAATACCCCATACATTCCCAAATTTTTCCCCACACAAAAAGGTTAGTAAATTCTTTTCTCTTTATTTTATTTCTCTTATTTTCCCTTTATTTTTCTTTTCTTTTATTTTTTTCCCCTTCTTTTTCCTTTTTCTTTTCTTTTCTTTTTTTTTCTTCTTTCCCTTTCCTCCTCCTTCACGTGAGGAAATCCTCACTCACACCACCTGCCGCCCAGCCACCTCCGGCGCACTCCCCCTGCCGGCCCACCAGCCCAGCCACCACCGTGGCCTTCCTTTCCTCTTTCCTCCTTTGTTTCATTATTTTTGCTTAATGTTTATTTAATTATTTTGGGTTTTGATTTTATAGTATAAAGATTATATTTATCAAAATCATGTTTTTGATAGTTTAAAGTTATAATTTCAGATTATAATTGTTATTATAATTTTCAGATTTTATGAATTATAAACCTAGGGTTTTAATTTATTCAAATTGGGATTTTAGGGTTCTAATGAGCAATTAATTTGGGGCTTTTATTCCTATTGTATTTCTATTGATTAATTAAGCATAAAAACATGTTTTAATGAAGTTTTAAGGACTTTTAATCAAATTTATATTGCTGGAAATTTGTTTAAGTGTTAATTTGTGATTATTGGTTGTTTTCTAGGAAGTGATTATTCCCTAGGAGACTTTTAATTGATTAAAAGTGGCACAAAAGATTGTTTATACGAGGTACGTACATGTCTACTTCGTTGTAAGTAGTATCATGTTTAGGTACCAAAGAAAAGAACTTAGTTTCATGATTAGAGAACACTTGGATGAAAATTGTTTGGTTATACATTTAATTAATTCATGTGCTTATGTTTATGAGACATGTTTTGGTGAATTGATTATGTTTGTATGGGATTATGGATGCAAACATGTTGAATTATATTGGATTAATTGTTTGTATGGAATGTTGATACAAGCATATTTTTATTGGATTGGTTTGTTAACCACATTTGGATTATTAAAGGATTGAAATTGAATGGTTTAAGTGGAATGAATTTATTAATTATTCCACAAGGTTGTTATTTATTTTATTACTCAATCATGACTTGTTAGTATGTTGAGTAAAGGTGGATTAAGCCGAAATGGTTAGGCGAGTTGACTATGTTCAACAATTTGGATAATTTGGAGGTTTAATGAAATTAAAGGTCAATTTGTGATGTGATCACCATTGTCCTAAATAAGATTAAAAGTAAATTGATGTATGATTTTTATGTATGGTCTATTTGATTGAGTCGGCTATTAATTAAAATTGTAATCACGTAAAGTGAAACATGGATGAGCAATAAAACTCTAGAAAGCGTGCACTTCTAGAGTATTGACAAGTATGGGTTGGGGTACACGGTGGTAGCCCGTGGCTTTCCGAGGCTTGTTTGATCGACATGTCCTCTTTTCTTTTGGTATTTACATTTTTATTTTATAATGAAAGTTAGATGGGATCCTAGTCTAACTTTGTGAGGATGGAGTCGCGCCCATTCTTGAATCGCGCTAAACTTTTATTTTAAATGGTCATTTGGGACCAAAATGATTTGGTGGATTGGACACCTCGTCTATTGCTTACTCCAAATTAAATTAATTAAATTAAATATAAACTTTTATTTTAAATGGTCATTTGGAACCAAAATGATTTGGTGGATTGGACAACCTCGTCTATTGCTTACTCCAAATTAAATTAATTAAATTAAATATAAAGAGTCAAGTGTTTGGAATTGATTAGCAAAGTATGTTGAGTCGATTGAATTGTTTAAGTGTGGAGTCTTGATTAATGAATTCGAGTTGTATATTTATTTACTTTAATTAGTTGAGCATGCTAGGCTTGGTACGTTGTAGCTTGTATGTACTCAGCTTTGCTGATTGCGTGCTTTTGTGTGTTTTATTTTGGTCATGGCCTTCGCCTTTCAATGACCCTGTGATGATCCAATTATTACACTTGTATTATTGGGGAGCAGTATTGCACAGATTAGCTTGATGATGTGAAGTTCGGGGATTTGACATACGCATTGTCAAGGGATTGGTGTGATTGAGAGTATTCGTTCTTTGTGTTGAACTTATTTATGTTTTACTATTTTAATTATGTTTTGGGATTTTGAATATTGGTTTGGTTTTAATAAGGGCCTTTATGGTTCCAATTTGTAAGCTTTGACTTATTGGGTTTCTAAATTATATTATTTTAATATTTAAGTTGGATTTCCGCTGTAATACTTTGATAAAGCCTTAATGTTTTAACACGTGGCGGTAACATGCCAATGGTTCCCTCTATTTTTATTTAAAGTAAGTGGTTTGGAAAAGGGAGAATTATTGGGGTGTTACAAGAAGAATGTCAACACAGGAGTGATTGGCCAAAGTGGAAGGAGGCAATGCTAGCTGAGTTAAAGTCACTTGAAAAAACGAGAAGTTTTTGGAAAAATAACCCTTACACCAGCCGATGTAAAACCCGTTGGATACAAATGGGTATTTGTGAGGAAAAGTAATGAGAAAAACGAGATAGTTAGATACAAGGCAAGACTTGTAGCCCAAGGATTTTCTCAAATTCCAGGGATTGATTTTGAAGAAACATATTCTCCAGTGGTTGATGGAACTACATTAAGATTTCTGGTAAGTTTGACGGTCACAAAAGGACTGCAAATGCGATTAATGGATGTAGTGACTGCGTATTTGTATGGGTCACTCGATACGGACATTTACATGAAAGTCCCCGAAGGACTAAAACTACCAGAAAACCACAAGCCTAAACAATTGCTTTCCATAAAACTAAAAAGGCAACTTTATGGATTGAAACAATCTGGAAGGATGTGGTACAACCGTCTGAGTGAATACCTTATGAGAGAAGGATTCAAAAACAACCAAGTTAGTCCCTGTGTTTTCATAAAGCGATCACAATCAGGATTCACTATCATTGCAGTTTATGTTGATGATTTAAATATCATCGGAACCCCAAATGAACTCGAGAAAACTGCAAAATACTTGATAAAAGAATTTGAGATGAAAGACCTTGGGAAAACTAAATTTTGCCTTGGACTGCAAATTGAGCACTTGAGTCATGGTATTTTTGTCCATCAATTAAGCTATACATAAAGAGTTTTAAAAAGATTCTTCATGGTCAAAGCAACTCCAACCAACTTCCCAATGGTTGTTCGTTCTTTGAACATGAAAAATGATCCATTCAGACCCCGAGAAGAAAATGAAGAGATTCTGGGTCTAGAAGTACCATACTTAAGTGCAATTGGAGCCTTAATGTACTTAGCTAACAATACTAGACTCGACATAGCTTTCTCTGTGAACTTGTTAGCCAGGCACAGCAATGCACCAACATATAGGCATTGGAAGGGAGTTCAACACGTACTCCGGTACCTACGAGGGACACAAGACCTTGGTTTATATTATCAACCAAAACAAGATGTTGCTCTCATTGGGTACGCAGATGTTGGATACTTATCGGATCCTCAAAATGCCAAGTCACAAAATGGATATGTGTTTACTTATGGCGGCACTGCAATATCATGGAAATCAACAAAGCAGACATTGACCGCGACATCATCAAATCATGCAGAGTTGATAGCTCTTTATGAAGCAGGACGAGAATGTGTATGGCTGAGGTCGATGATCGGTAATATCCAAAAGGAGTGTGGAATGAACTCAATAACAGAAAATCCAACCATCATCTTTGAAGACAATACAACTTGTATCGCTCAATTAACTGAAGGATATATTAAGGGAGATAAAACGAAACATATTGCCCCAAAACTGTTCTTCACACATGATCTGCAAAAAGACGAGGAAATAAATATCCAGCAAATTCAGTCTTGTGACAATCTTGCCGACTTGTTCACCAAATCACTTCCTTCGAAGAAATTTGAGCAGTTAGTTCACAAAATCGGCATGCGACATCTCCGTGAACTATGTTGAAATCACGGGGAGTATTATATGTACTGCACTCTTTTTCCCTTCGATCAGGTTTTTATCCCACTGGGTTTTTCCTGACAAGGTTTTTAACGAGGCAGTATACCAAAGCATATAATACTATATCGTTGTACTCTTTTTCCCTAGATATGGTTTTTATCCCATAAGGGTTTTACCTAGCAAGGTTTTTAATAAGGCAACAAATACCTTTTTTATGTATAAGTATGGGTATTCAAGGGGGAGTGTTAGAAGGCAATGTGAATCCCAATCACTGATTTGATGTTGCAATGCACATATAAGTCCAACCCTTGTGAACTAATATGTCTATATGTGTGTAATTATTGTACCCTTAGTTAACACTCATGGTTATATATAAAGAGTGTCATACACAAGAGTAAATTTACCGGAGCAATATATACTATCAATTTCTCCATCTTCTTTTACTTCTTTATAAAACTTTCTATCGGTAAAACTTCAACAAATCTAATTTTTTGATATATTTAACCTATTTTCTGATATATATATATATATATATATATATATATATATATATATATATAACTTATTTTTTGACAATTATAATATAGTATCTGACAATTATAATCTGATTTCTGACCATTATAATCTAATATCGAACTATTATTATCTGATTTCTGACCATTAAGATTTTTTTTTCCTCAATTTTTTTTATTCGGATCTTTAGATAGTTTACTCAACCTTAAGTCTTGTTTAATTCAACTTCTTTTTTACTTATTTCAAAGAAAATAATTTTAGATCAGAAAAAAATAAGTTTAGAGCAGATAAAAAAAAAAGTTCAAATTACAATATCATTTTATGTGCAATTTTGTATTGCTAAATATCTGTAATTTTGCTCTGAACAAAATTATAAAAATCACATATCAATAAAATACACATTATTACGAATCTAACAAGACCGCACTTGATGTTTTTATTTTATTTATTTTATAGATTATCATACACTTCAGGTCAAAGTTTGATAAGACAAATAGATCAAATCAAACAAGACCAGATCATACCAGTTCAGATAAACAAAAATAAACTAAACTAAACAAGCCCTTAAGCTAAAGTTTTGCTATTATTGTACTCCGTATTAGTTAATAATTTATTACGGAGTACGAAACATAAGAAGTGTATTTTAATTCATTCAACTCGGATTCTACAATCACGTGTCTAGGGATGGCAACGAGTCGGACTCGGAGCAAATTATGCTAAATCCGACTACGACCCTGCAAGAAGTTAGAGGCTAAATTTGACTCTGAATCCGACTTTGACTTTAATATCTGGCCTCCGACTCCAACTCCAACTCCAATCCGATCTAACTCTGGTATTTTTTTTTTTTTTTTTTCAGTTATTCAATTTACATTGAGAAATTGGACTATTTAGGCCTTTTGCAACCCGCACTACATACACTGATTATAAAAACAAAGCACTAATTGACTCCACAGTTAGATTATAAAATTACACATAACCCCAAAAAAAAAATCATATATAAGTTGGAGTTAGAGTCAAATTACGTTTTTTTTATTTTTCGGATTTTGTAGAGTTCGACTCCGACCCTTCTTTAACTCGGAGTCAGATTATTTTAACAGATTCAATCTTGACCTCGCCTTACTTTTTTCTCGGACTCGGAGCAAACTTTTTTTACAAATTCTTCTATGGACCCTAGTCCATTTAAAATAGCTAGACCTCTATTAAAACACAACCTTGTATAATGAAACACAACTTCATTCTCTTCTTCTTCTTCCCACCATCTTTACAATTTTTTTTTTTAATCTAATCTCTTTTTATTTCCTTATTGAATTTACTTCATTCTTTTTTTTTTCAAATTCTTCTTTTCTCTCTCCTCTGTTCTTTGATATTTTTTCCATTAAATTTTTGCATTTAACGTGATGGAACAAATTTAAATTCCCAAAGATATCAATCCAGGTTTGTTATTATGACCTTATTGTGATCAATATTAATTTATTTTTTGATTTTGAGATGAATTTGTGGATGAAATAGTTGTTTTAATATCAATTGAATTTGTGAAAGCTAATTTGATTAATTTCAATTCGTAATCGATTACCTGATTGTTTTTATTGTTCTCATTAATTTGTATGTAATTTTTTGATTTTGTGATGAATTTGTAGATGAAATCATTGTTCTAATATCAATTGAATTTGTTGAAGTTAATTTTGAACATTTAGTCAAAAAATCCGAACATCGCAAAGTTTGAACATTTAGTAAAAATATTTGAACAATCGCAATGACCACGCCTATATTTTTGAACATTTAGTAAAAAAAATCTGGACAATTGCAAAATTTGAACATTAAGTAAAAAAATCTGAACCTTTCAAATTTTGAACATTTAGTAAAAATATCTGAACAATCTCAACGTATGCTTGCACTTTTAAACATTTCGTAAAAAATTCTGAACAATGGCAAATTTTGAACATTTTGTAAAAAAATCCGAACACTGCACCACGTCCATACTTTTGAACATTTGGTAATAAAATCTGAACAATCGCTTGTAGTCCACCTATCCTAGATGGTCTAGGGTGCACAATAGACTTATTGGACTTTTTTCCCCTCAGATCGGGACGATGTAGGGTCGAATCCGGACTGGATTACCATCCCTACACGTTTCAATCAAATCGGGTCACCTAAAAAAATGGAGGGAGTATAGACTCGGAGTGAATTTAAAAGTTTATTTTTGCTCGTGTAACTGTGCTCGCTGCACCCCTCCACCCTCTCTCTCCTCCATTGCAGTGTTCGTTGAAGTAGCTTGTGGGCTTTTTCTCCTCCATTAAAGCTGTTTCCGAGGTAACATAGCTTATTTTTATTCATCGATTATCAATTTCATATATTAGGGTTTCGTTAATTTAATTGTCAGCATAGTCAATTTAGGGTTCGGATTATTGAATTATTGGTTATAAACAATCGAAGAATCTACAGAACCTAGTTTGATTATCAAGCCATAGTTATAGAGTAGCTGCTAATGTGTTGCAAGTTTTTGTTTATTCAACCCCTTTACTAGTTATAGTACTCAATAGACTTACTAAGTAATAGTTGGTTGCTAATGTCTTGCAGCGTTTTGTTTATACAACCCCTTTTACTGGTTATAATACTCGAAGGACTTATTAAGCCATAGTTGTTGCTAATGTATTGCAGCATTTTGTTTATACAACCCCTTTACTAGTTATAATACTCGAAGGACTTATTAAATAATAGTTGGTTGTTAATGTGTTGCAGCATTTTGTTTATACAATTCCTTATCGTAATACTCGAAGGATCTATTAAGCCATAGTTGGTTGCTAATTTGTTGCAGCGTTTTGTTTATACAACCTCTTTATTTGTTATAATACTCCAAGGACTTATTGTATTAGTTGGTTGTTAATGTGTTGCAGCGTTTTGTTTGTACAACCCTGGACGGATTTATGAAAAATGAGTATTTTTCCGTGGGCCCAGGGCAGCCGCCCGTCTTGCCATGGCTCAGGGATGGGGCTCCACGTGCTCCAGTTCAGTATCAACAACAGTGCCATCAGTCTCGACAGTCTGGTCCATTAGACACTTCTTACTCAAGTCATCTTGTACGCGGTCCTTTTTTGCATCCCTCTCATGCTCATATGTCATCTGTTTCAATCCCTGCCACTGCCAGAGGCGTTACCTTGAACAGTCATCCTCATACAAAGGTTCATTTCTTCTTTTCTTATATTTTTGACTTTATCATTGGTAGCAAATTTTTTTATCCCGATTATCATTGGTAGCCCTAAACTTCTGAAATTTGTCAAATGTGATTAATTATTGTTTTGGTTTAAATTTCGGTTTAATTTGACTTTATTTTTAACCTTGTATTTTATTTTTCATTGTTTAGTAATTCCTGTTATTTGGGTGGAATGTGTATCTTACCTAGCTAGATTTGGTGGGTATTACATTGTCATATACTTCTTTGAGCCTATTATTCACCAATCCTGAGTTCCTGACAGGTTTGGTTTATCCGCAAAAGTGGGTAGTTCATTATATTTGTTTATTGGATGGGAATCAGCTTCTTCTCTACATTAGGTTCCTTTCCATGTGATATCCGTACAAAATTTTCTAGGAAAGGTTCATGAAATCAACCATTTAATAGTTAGCTTTCACTGGTTCATAAAGCATAATGTAGGAGATCCAAGTAATCATGTGTATGGAGTACAGATGTACCAATGCTATGTTCAGATATAAGAGGATCTAGTGTTATGCTATGTTATATCTAAGTAAGCTACATGCAATTGCACTAATATAAATCAGATTTTGCTTGGCATAGAATGGTTAAGATTTATTTGGAAACTTTGCAGTTGTGCAATATATTGCTTATTGAGGACTGATGAGCTTCACTCATGCCCAACTTTTTTCTCCATCTTATTTTCAATTTCTGGAACAAACATGTCAACTGACAAGTGTACACTTGATTGTTTACGATTAACACGCTCTGCATAATTTCATACTTGTGGTGTCTTAACCTTGCCAACTGAGAGATGTCTTTCTGGTTGTCTGTGATAAATGTGCTTTGCGTAATTGCATTTTTGTGGCCTCTTTAAAGCTTGTGAACTGAGAGGTTCTTACTTGGTTGTTAATTATAAATTGTTTTTTGTAATTGCATTTTTGTGCTCTCTTTAAACCTTGCTAACCAAGAGATGGTTATTTGGTTGCTTGTATTGTGTTCAGCATTTGAATTTTTTTTCTTCTAAACATTGACTTTTTTTTTTTTTTTTTTTTCTTATCAAAATCTTCTTTTGTTTAGGCTGGTTCATTTTCCTACACTGCTCCTGAAAATAGTGCTCCTAAAGATCCCATGTGAGCAAGTTCTTCTGGTTTAGTTTGAATGTTCGATCCCCATGTTAATTTCTGTTTTTAGGTTTTAGCTATAATTAATTTTTTGATTTGTGCAGAGACAAAGGCACAGATGATACATTTGTCACTCTTAGGGATCGAAAGGTGAGGTACACTGTTTTTCTTTAGGAATCATGTGTATGAGATTTCTCACCCAGTCCCAGAATGATGCTACTTGCTTTCATCTCTGTTTTGCATATTCTCAATGCAATTAAGTAATGATATGGAAATATAGACATGTTGTAGGGGTAGGGTTTTTTTTTTTATTTTTTATTTTTTTTGTGCTGGTTTATTTTGTGCTTTAGGTACTTTTTTAAGTGATAGTCTGGAACTTGATCTTTTTATAGAATTTTTCAATTTTTACACTTCTGATCACTAAGATTTTGTTTTTTTGCTCTGCTGATCACCCTTGCTATAGCTTCTTATATATATATATATATATATATATATATATATATATATATATATACATATATATGTATACATATATATATATATGTATACATATATATATATTTGTTGTGAAAAATTCATTTTATTGCAAGTCATAAACTAGAGCTGGCAACGGGCAAACAATTTGGGACATAGGAAATGTTTAGTAAATTAACATTAGTTCAGTCCTAATATAATAAGAGATCAGCTTAAAAAGTCAACTTAATTTTAAACAATTTTAAAACTATAGCTAGCTTTACTCCACTCATATTAGACTTAGACCTTATTAAGCTATTACACTGATTTCAAGCCTATCAAACTTGGCACTGATAGAGTGCTAAACTACTTGGTTAAATAAAACATAAACTCTGATAAGTTTATGCAATGATGCAAATAGATTAAGCTTGGAATTCAAAAATCCTATATAACAGCTCGTACCTTTTGGGGAGGTTGATTTCCTTGTATCAAAAGAAGACGGTGGCTACAAATTCGTTTTGTGGGGTTTGGTAAGGACAATGGGAAGTTGTTGTGCAAACGTGCAATGCTAGTATGGCTATTTTATGGTGTATTTGGTTGGAGCAAAATTCCCGTCTTTTCTCACTCTTCCTAATTTACTAGATTTGGTCTGGGACAAAGAAACTTATCTCAGCGTCATTGAGGGCTAAGACTGCTGGGGCATTTAAGAGCTGTTCGGCTGGGGATATGCAAAGAAACTGGCTTAATCTGTATATTAGATTCGTAAACAGAGGAAAATTTGCCTTTTTTCTCTGTATGCAATTTTTCAACTGTTAAAATTTTTAAAAACGAATACATGTAACAATTTACACCTGTGAGCATCATTCTCCTTTATGTGAAAGAAGATGTGAGCAAGTGACCTGAGATCCTTTATTCCTTAGTTCGACTAGGATTAAGTACAAAGAATAAAAAGACAAAATATGACATTTTTTGCTGCACATTTGCACTAGAGTCAAGACACAAATCAGCTGCAAAATCTATACTTTTCCAACCTCTTTTGTTGTTGATAACATCATCACCATCACAGCAGTAAGGATTACTGTTGTGCTGCATATAAACTAGTAACTCCTTATAATAATTATGTAAACCAGATTGCGTATACTCCCTCCATTTTTTTTAATGTATCCATTCACTGTAGACTCTTGTTTGTAAGAGAAGTATGTGGATGTAGTAAATTGGTGGGTGAGTGTAAGAAAAGCATATAAGTAGGGGAGGTAGTTGGAAGGTGTAAACTTTATGGGAAATAGGAGTAAGAAGGAAGATTTTGTTTGCCAAAAGTATAATGAAGTAAAAGTAGGTAGAAAAAGTGTTGAACAAAACTCCCTCTTTATGGAAAGTGGGTACATGAAAAACAGAAAATAGGAGTAATAGTTTTGTATATCATCGTTGTCGCTGCATAAAAATAATAAATAAAGTGACTGCCTTTATAATAGTAATTAAGTCAATTGATTTTGCTTCCATTTCATTTTTTATTTTTATTTTTATTATTTATTTTTATTTTATTTATCTCACTCAAACAAAGCAGTTACTGTAGTATATGGTTGGGATTGAGTATGTGACTGTATATAGTCAAATAAGGCCGTGGAAGCTGCATTGGCTCAACTTCCATTATCAACAATTAAACTGCAATTCTAACGTCCCAATCTTACACCTTGACTATTAAATTTGATCCCTTTGCTCCTTTATAACCAGGATAGCTTGAAAAGCTCTCTGAGTTTTGAGCAGTTCACCAACAATCTCTGCTCATCATTCTCCTCCATAGTAGAAGCATCTTCTACTGGAAATTCTTTTTCCTTCAAGTTCCTCACTAATATATCTTTTGTAGGACCATTGTATGCCTATTAAGGCAGTCACTTTGCACATTCTCATTGGTGGTTATTTTGCAGAACCAAATTGGAAAACATGTGCAAAGTGACTGCCTTAATTCTGCACATGCTCATCAAAATTCTACACTCATTATATCTATCTTTTGCTACTTTTTTTAGGTCAGGGTATCAGATGGGGCTTCATTATATGCGCTTTGTCGATCATGGTTGAGAAATGGATATGTAGAAGATAACCAAGTATGTAGAATTCGTTCATGATTAATCAATGGATCTATCTTTCTTATCCTATGCAAGTGTATGCAGGCATGTTTAGATATCTATGTATCTCCAGGCAATTTTTTGTTTGATCAAAACCATATGAGTCTTGGAATATAAGACAAGGAAAGTTGTTATTAGGTATACCAAGTTTATATCGTGAACTTAGCAGTTGCCCTTACAAAATACATATCCTGTCCACTGGCAGAATGAAGGTAGTAAATAAGAATGTAAAGAATAAGAATAATATGTTATTTTATAATTAAAACTTGTTTTTTTGTTGGCTAATAGACTCTATTGTTTGAAGATTATCATGAGCAAACCACCTCTTCTCTGGTTCTCTCTCTGTCAAGTAGCTAACAGTTATAATCTCTATTCATCCATGGTTATTAAGTGAGTATGTATTTATGTTGGAGTTTGAAGTACCAATGAAACTTTTCTTACTTTGCATTCTTGTTCATTGTTCATCTCTCTCTCTCTCTCTCATATTTTTTTTTCCTGAATTGTTTTGAAACTTGCAGCCACAGTATGGCGATTTTTTGAAGTCTCTTCCGAAACCCTTGCCTCTTCCTCTTCCTTTGCCTCTGCCTCGGCCTTTGTATGAATCTTCTTCGCCTAAGAGAAAGGATAGAGATGATGAAACAGAAGCTGACGAGGTTGGTTTTTCTTGGACTATACTGTTATTACTGAGTCCTGTCTTTTATCTTAAATATCTGTAATTGCATAAGGGTGATCTTGCACTCTGTACTCCAATACTTGTCATCTTTTAGCAAAAAATTTGCATATTTGGTTGTTTGTTTGTTTGTTTGTTTTATTTTTTATTTTTTTAATTTTTTAATTTTTTATTTTTGAAGTTGGACCATTTGAATTATTATGCTTATTAATGCATAATTTTGATTGTGAATATTTTTTTATTGTCTTTCAGCAAAAAAAATTTAAAATATGATATATCAAGACGAAATTAGCTTGCCTTTTTTTCTTATGTACTTATGCATAAGTCACAAAATATGGTCAAAGGACAGTACGGATGTGTAAAGTCCAAATGATACAAGTATTAAACAAACGGAGAAAGTATGTAATTATGGAAATAATTAATTATATGCTAGATTACTTAATTTCATAGTTTTATATGTTGATAATTTAATAATTCGTTATATGTTGGTAAGTATGATTCAGTTAGTAAGCTAAGCAGTAGGCAAATGTGGATGTCATTAGAGTAATCAATCATGATAAGTTTTTGGATGTTAAACTTTTTATTATGAAATCTGGATGTTGTATTAGTATTTTTGTATGTTAGATTATTTAATATCATAGATTTAGAAACCATGCCACTGCGTCTCCCCCTTACGGCCCTACCTTGGTGCAATGCATATCATAAGATGCAGAAAACCACTAAGAGGCAAGGCACTGCGCTTTTGTGGTTTTTGTTCAAAGTGTATTCCGGAAGGCATAGAAGAACGCTGATCACCTCTCTGGCAAGGTGCAAGGTGCAAGGTGCAAGGTGCTGCGTTTGTGTGCTTTTTGTTCAAAGCGAACCTGAGTGAAAACCTAAAAAAAAACCAAAATTTCTTCAAATTAATTCTCAGTCATCAATAAATGTTTCCAAGCCCCTCAATTAGTTGCATGAATTTACTTGATTTTACCCTCCAAATAGAAAGCCCAAATAATTGAAAACCCTCTTCTCTTTTCCTTCTTGATCTGGAAGCATTTAACTCTTGATTTTACTCCCACTCTGATTTTGCTATTCTCTTTTCCTTCTCAATCTGGAAGCATTTAATACTTGATTATATTCCCACTCTGATTTTGCTAGTCACATGATACCCCCCTCTCTTCCTCTTTCTGATTTTTTAAAACTTATATTGGGCTTTTTTTTTTTTAAAAAAAATTTAATACCAGAATTTAAAAAATATAATAATTAGTAAAATAAAGTTGTGCAGTTGCACCTCATATACAAAAGACGAGTGCTTTGCACCTAGGCTAGGTTTTGAGGACCCTTTGCTCTGTTTAAAACTAATTTTATCATAATGCACTATTGTAGTGATTCACATTAACTTCATTTTTTACTGGAATGTTGCATTCTTTTAGATTACAGAATTGGAAAATTTTCAGTGAATGCCATTAGTTTTAATTAGGAGAGAACTTCAACAGAGTTATGGGGTGATCATCCCTCTGATGCCTAAGCTAGTGTTACTTTGCACAACGGAGAGAGAGTAGTTAGTTTGGAGAATGTAGATTAGTGTTATCAGAATTTCTGTTAGAGCCTTGTCTGTGAAGTTGAAATTTTATATGAATGAGGGTAGTTAGTTTTGAGCTGATTGTAGGGCTGGGTTGGACTTTTCAGGTCAAAGTATCAGGCTGAGCTAGCCTTTAAAACCCTGAAATTTTGGGGGTTTAAGATCTTGGGTCAATTCAGGCCAAAATCTGGTTGGGTCACCCTTCATGGCCAGGATGGCTGGGGTTATAAGTAAGAGGTCAGTTGTGAGGGAATGCTATTCTGAAATACTGAGTAATCTAGTTTTAAGGTCTGGGTTGTATTATCTCCTTTGGTGATTCAATTCAATAATACAAATCTGTCAGCTTTTTTACTTTTCCTGCTTTTCATAATTAATTGCTATTCAAGTGAATTCTATCCCTGTAATGTAACAATAGCACCTGATAGAAGGGAATGGAAAGAGAAGATCTTTGTTGATGACCACCGGAGATAAAAGTTTGGTTTCACGTAGCTGACCCGTTATGTTAAAATAAAGACTTTGCAGCGCCTAGAAACTCCTTGAAGAGAATCGAAAATCTTGGCCAGTTGTTATGCCAATAGCAGTGCCGGGCGATGTGAGGGATAACAGAGTGAATTATAACCAGCATGGATCCATGTTGATTCTTGGATCACAGATCGGTGTATTGTTGTTGTGGACTTTCTTAGTGCTTTACTCTCTCTTGGCCTGCTGATTTACACTATGTTTGGATAACAATAGTGAAGGGAAAGGGAGGGGAAGGAAAAAGAGGGAAGGGAAAGGGAGGTGAGGGGAAGGAGAAGGGAGCTTCCATTTTCCTTCCAAATCTCTCCAACAATGGAGAGATGTGGTTTATTAAAAGGGGAAGGAAAATGGATCCTTCCAATCCCCTCCCCTTCCTTCCTTGCATTAGCATCCAAATAAAGGATGATGTATCCTTCCTTTTCTCTTCTCTTCCCTTCTTTCCATTTCTCTATATCCAAACATAGTGTAATTTTCTCTCTCATGCTGGCCGATTACTATTGGCCTGCTAGGGTAGGACTTGTGACCTTGAGTAGTTGAGTTAATTTTGTGACGTGAATCTTAAGAGCATTGTGTGTGTGTGTGTCTAGCTCATTATTAAGGTAAAAACAACTGCTTGTTTGCCCAAAAAAAAAAAAGCTGCTTTCTTTGTTCCTTAAAATGTTGCAACATTAGGGCAATTGGGCTTTACAAAACACACTTAAAACTTGATATATCCTTAATTATATAATTGTAAAATTTATAAAAAGTAGATGTGAAAGTATGTATCGCGACAAATCTAATGAGACATCACATGACTATTCATTTTCTTACTTATGTTACACTGTGATTTTTTGTTTGTGTTTTTTTTTTCCCTTACGTATATAACACAATGTGTGTGTGTGTGTGTGTTTTTTTTTTAACACACTGTGTGTTTAAAAGAGGAGTGTATAAATATTTTTCAAATGCGTGAATATTGTAATATTAAAAAAAAAAGTATTAGTTTATTAGTGGTGGGGTGTGGAGTCATGGACGAATAAGATAAGGATTTAGCATGGCAGCTCAACCTTTTGTTGTGAAGATCGTCATGGTTTGACATTTTTCTGGAGTGTTAATTCCAGTTCTCTTTTTCTGTATGCAGGTTGAAAAATCAGTTGAGATGTCAAGTGCTGAAGAGCTTCTAACCAGGCATGTTAAGCGAGCTAAGAGAGTTCGAGCTAGGTATTTACTATTTTTTGGACATTTTACATTTTACGCAAATGCTATCTCTAGGTCACTTACTCCCTCCGTTTCTAGATTATTGGGTTTAGGGTCTTTTAATAATTGCAGCATTCTCACATTTTGAAAGTTTTAGATTCCAAATATAATTTTCCTTTCATAACCAAACAGCCAATTAAGTTTATTAACCAAAGAATATAACCCGACCACCCCAAGCAATATAATAAAAAAATCCAAATAATTAGAATAACCCCACCACCCCAACCAACACAGAAATTAAACTAACACCACCGCCCACCGCCCAGTCTCCCACCTCCCTTTCGCACCATCCCACCCTTTATCTCTCCAAACCTATCACCAACTTCACAAACACATGTACCAGCCACCACCATCGTCCCTCTTCTTAATTTCTCCGCTTAAAAGTTAGGATACTGATCACACAGCCTCACACTGTCAACAACTACCGCCAGCCTAGAATAAAAATCCTAGCTGTTGGTCTGCTGCAAAGTGCAAACCACAACCAAAATCCATTGGAATGAATAAGTAGGCAACCACTAGCATTGAAGCCTTTTCCACAATAGAATCTCATAACCTCTACCATGAAATCCCAAGCTACTTTTGACAGTAAGCCCCATATTTCAACCCTGAAGGTCCAATGTGGCTGGGTAGGCTTTGAAGCCTCTGGTTGAAATGGAGAGACATGCCAGTAATTTACCACTTGAGATGTGAGAGAGAGAGGGAGTATTACAATGGCCTTTTCAGTCTTGTTCTCTGAAGTTTTCAGTTTAGAGATGTGGAAAAGATATGAGAAACGCAGAACAACCCCCCCCCCCCCCCCCCCCCCCCCCAACACCTTTCCTCCGTTCCAAATTAGTTGACATGTTTTAAATTTGACACTACAAAATCTATTTTGACTAGCTATTGTGATTTACAGATAAAATAAAGTCATGTGAGATAATTTGAGATATTTAATGCATTGGTAAATGTCATATAAAAGAAAGGTGTCAGCTAATAACAGAGGTAGTATATAATTACAACTTTACAAGTATATTAATAAAGTCCAGACAACTTCATTGTTAGAAAGTAACTTATCCACCGTTTCCCACTTCTTTCAATAGATCCCAATTCTATTTGGTCTTCCTCATAGATGCCTAGATGGGTTAGATTGTAACTGTTTTTTTAATTTTTTTTTAGAAAAAAAAATCTAAACAATTTTTTCCCACAAAACAGTGATCTTATAAAAATCTTAATTTTAGTGGAATGTGAAGACATGTTAGTAATCGTGAATCGCTTTATATTCGTAGACATCTCTCTCTGATAAACGGGCCTGGGCCACACCCGTCACAACTGTCCACTTTATACGACCAAGGAGGTTTCACCTCAAAACCATATGGCAATGAAGGGAGTAGCTCCTTAACCTTATAAAGTGGGCACAACTTTCTTATTTCTTCAATGTGGGATACACATCCCAATACAAACTCCCACTTATAAACTCAACCAATGTGGGACAACACACCCTCTGTTTCGATTGTGTTTGTAGACATATATAACTTAAAGTGTATGAGCTAATTTACTTTGACCTTCCTGCTATCGTTTACCATGTACTAGGATATGCGTGTAAAGTAAGGATGGACATTTTAAAACTATTGCTTCTCTTTGCAGATTGAGGGAGGAAAGATCGCAACGAATTGATAGATACAAAAGTAGGCTGGCTCTTCTTCTTCCTCCTAACGGAAATTTGCAGGAATGATATAAGCAATGGAAAATTGGTCCCTGATTCATATCCACATTCTACCAGGTCTGCTATATTATGCAATGTTTGTTGGCAGATGATGTCTACCCTTTCAAGTGTGTTTGATGAAGCAAAGTTCCATCCTTCAAGTTATCACTTGCTTGTTAATTTCCTAAAACGTTTTTCTGAAAAATATTTGCTTGTAATTATTTAATATTTTATTTATTCATTTTAGAAAGGGGGGCTCCGATAGCTGAAAAAACCGTGACTTTTGCAGCCATCTAAATTAGGAGATTTTTCTCGAAGTTAATTTTCTAGTTTATCATGTAAAACTAAACTACTCGTAGCAAATATTCCTATTATCCTAGTTCTAGTCCCATATTTTTATTACAAATTAATATCTAGACATGTTTATTGTTAGTTTTGGATATTGTTTTGTTTTGTTTTTATTTTTTTTTATTTTTTTTGGGAATAGGCTTAAGCACACACTAATCTATTTTTTTGAGACGGTTTGGAAGGACTTTTGAAATGATTTTATAGACAACGTTGCATACGCTGATCGTGTGGAATTCAGTTATATTCGATGGCTCTTTACATTTTGGAATAAGTAAAACAAGGTTTATTTACACTACTCAGTTCACCTAGCTACCAATTCTCTCCATTAGCCCACCAATTCTGAACAACGTCCACAACATTTCCTCTTTCCCAACAATGTACCAACATTTTTGATAAAAGAGGGTATGCATACCATCAATTCCGGGAGCTTTGTTTTGGTGCATTTGGGAAAGAGTATTACAAATTTTCTCTGCCGATGGAACAATAGTCAAGTTTTGGTTCATCTCCTCATTCACCGAACAAGTCAACCCTGCAATAGCCAATAGCCACCTCAAAATCAGAAGGCAATGATGAGTTAAAAATATTAAAAAAAAACTAATATAGCACATGTGTGATGCATGGTTTACTAGTAATCTTCATTTTAACACACATAAAACCTTACAAATTGAGTAAAAGAATAATAAATCTTTTCTGTAAATTAGGACATTAATCAAAAAAATCTTTTCAATATTAATCAAAAAAAGATTTATTATTTATATAGTTTATTGATTAGTATTTCATGGCCTAAGTTCTAAATTATTTCTATATTCTAAAGCTTTCTATGCTTTAAATTATTTCATTCTATGTTCTATATTTGATATATTTATGGTCTATATATGTTCTAAATTATTCCTATGTTGTAAAAAATGTTGATGATGTGTAAATTAGAGCAGGTTGTAGGAAAATTTAGCTTATGATGCAATTTTAGCCAAGAACCTAATAAAGGTTTCAATTAGCAAAATTCAACACACACACACACACACAAAATCTTGCTATGGTGGAAGTGTGGTAGCTCATCAATTGATACATTTATAGTAATGGAGTTTGATTTGTAGAGTATTGCAGCTTATTATAGGAGAATAATCACAATTTGGAATGCTTCCTGTTTGGCTTACGGATTGAACTTAACGAATGGATTGTATATATTTATATGAAGTCCAAAGGGAATCCATTATGTGTCATAGGAGAAAGCTGGGAATTCTAATTGCAATACAATTCCCAATTTCCCAAGACAGTCCTAGGGGATGCCAAATTGCTTATCTGCAATTCTGAATTTGATTCATTGATCCGAATTGTGGATCAGAACTAATAAAAAGTTAAGAGTAGTAGGGCTAATAGGCAACCAAAAGTTGGTTTTCTTCTTTACTTCGCCTAGCTAGTGTTCTACATTCCAATAATAGTGATCAGTTTTAGGCCACTGACAGGGTAAAGTCGTATCCCCTAATCAAAAATAAATTACCTAAATCACTAACTACAGTAGATAGGGAAGTAGGGTCGAACTCCACAGGGAAACAAGTCTTTTTAATTCTAATTAATTGTTGTAATCTAAATTATCTAAGTAACCAATATTTTAAATATGAATTCTATACTACGAATGATGAGTTTAGGGAGAAAAGAATCAATAATAAGGAAACCTAGGGTCGCAGGTTCACCAATAATTAATATTTCGGGATAGAACGGAGCAATTAATAATTAACAATGCATCAATAACATGATTAACAGGCTCTCGCAATTTATTAACCAACATGGATTTAACAGGCTCTCGCAATTTATTAGACCTAAGTTCCTATTAAAAAATAGCCTTTAATATTAAATCAACATCTGCTCGATTCATCAATTCAATATTGCTAAACATTCACAACCAAATTACATCTGCTCGATTCATAATCTAATTGCAAAGAATTAAAACAATTCAATAAAAAATTATCATGCAATATCAACAATCAATAATTACAAACTATCCCTTCATATTAATTATGGATCCCCATAAACCCTAGAATTAAACTACTCACTAATCATCATAACTAATCCAATCAAATAAACAATTTAAAACATAAACAAGAAAACAATTAAAATAGCTGAAATTAGAAAGGGAAGAAATTGTACCAAAAACAAATCTGGAATTAATGAAGGAATTAAGTACAAGAGTTTAGAGAGAATTCTAGAGAGAGAAAAACTAAGTAGAGAGAGAAAGTCTAAGAGAAAGAAGTCCTTAATTATCCGTACAAAATGAATATAAATATCTCCCCTAAAACAAGAATTAAACAAAGCTTAATCAGGCTCTAACAAAACACGCGCCCGATCGGGCGAAGGGGGCGCCCGATCGGGCCCGCCTTTTTTTCTACGCCTATCTTTCAGTGCTGCCTCGATCGGGCGCGCATCTCCTTGGCAGCTGGCATGCGCGCAGCTCGCCCGATCGGGCGAAAGCTTGCCCGATCGGGCCCGGCTTCATCTTGGAAGTTTGGACTTCGATTTGGGCTAGATTTCTCGGCCCAATCCATATTTCCTCTCGGGTCTCGAATACATGGTCCGATTACCTCGGGCTCCGAAAATGGTCGTGCTCCTCCAATGCTCGTAGTCGCTTCATAAAAATCCCGGAAAAATAATCCAAAGGTGCAATTCCCTGCAAAACTTAACCAAAACTACGAAAACATTAGAAAACACATATTAGTAATAAAAGTGGCCCTAAAGGGCCAAAAACACTACTAATTATGACCGAGGGACGAGGGTAAAATACTATATAAAATGGACACATCAAACTCCCCCAAGCCAAACCTTTGCTTGTCCCTAAGCAAAGGGCTCATCAATGAACATATAAAACATACTTCACCCCAATCAACAAATCAAAAGCCAACGATTCAAGGTAAAATTAAACAAACATGCTTCGACGTCAATCAATCTTATTCATCTAATCACCCTTCCTCCCCAACAATTGTCAAGTAGAGCAAACCACAAGAGCATATAGAATTCAAGACTAGTGCTTACACACTCGACTCTCATTTATGTGGCGAGTAAAGAATGTACTCGATCGCTCTCCACCCAACCCCTTTAATGTGAACAATGCCCTCCCGACTCACATTCTCATGTGTATAAAACAATGAACACTCAATCCTACTAGTCGACTCGAAATATGTCAAGTCATAACTTGCATTGAAAGACAACACTTTCACATTTACACAACTTCTATGCACAAGGTCGGAAGGTCTTTTAAGCTTGTAACGTAAGGCTAGGGTAAAGGTAGGATAAATTTGGGATTATGTGAAAAAAAAGCTATGCTTAAAGGAGCCATATCCTAATAAAACCCATGATAAAAAATAATGATCATACACATCTCCAACATAACCAACTCCAACAACAATCCACCAAATATACTCCAAACAATATAAACAATCCCAACACTTACAATTTCACTCATAAAAATATGCTAATATGGAACAAGAGTGAATAACAAACTTTGAACTCATAACTTGAAATATTTACATTGAAACTCAACCTTTTTTTTTTTCCTTTTCCTTGAATTAACCTTCACTTAGAACATTTGAACATCAAACACTTTTTCTCTCTGTTTTGTTTTTTTTTTTTTTTTTTTTTTTTTTTTTTTTTTTTTTTTTTTTAGAAGTTCACTTTCTTTTCTTTCATATTTCTCATTTATTCCTTGAACTTCTTTTTTCCATCACACTTTTATTTTTCAAAAATATACAACTTTCAAATTCATAAAAACAAAAATATGATCAAGAACAAATTACTTCTCAAAACCCACCTAAATTGTGCAAATAAAGTGCACACCACAAACTCCCTCACCTCACTCACTAATAGCTCCCCCAAGCCAAGCTTGGGAATAGTAACCAATGGGGCAATTTAGGCTTGCAATGCGGCTATGGACAATAAAAGGGCACAAGCAACAACATGGGTGACAAGAAGGGAACAAATGTATCTAAATATCTCTGAAGGCTACCTAAGGAATGAACGCCTTCGTCCTCCTCATGTGCATATTATAAAGTCATGAAACACTACTCATAGTTGCAAATCAATTCTCAAATTCATTGACATACAAGGAATTATGGAACTATCACACATTTCCTAACCAAATCAACTAGTCAGGCACTATATTCACAAGTAGTTGGACAAAATTGACGCAAGTTAAGGAATCCAAACAATTAGACTTCAAATCATGACCAACAAATCCACAATGTTCATCATCAAATACCAAGAATCAAAACAATTTTCTCAAGTATGGGGCACAGGGAAGCATGATTTACAATTCATTGGAACGTATTTTTGATTTTTATTTTTTCAATTTTTTTGTATTTTTCATATATAAGAAAGCAATAAAAACCTATACTAGAAAGCAGATAAAGAGAGAAAAGGAAGAGAAATTCCAAGGTGAAAGAACACCCCCCCAAGCCAAATCAAGCAATGCCCTCATTGACTTGGGAGAGTAGCCTACTCCTCATCCTCATCCATCCTAGAGTACCCTCCACCGTGGCTAGAGCCGGCCCCTCCATGGCTAGAGCCACCACCACCATACCCCGAACCACCGGCATAGTAGTTAGGGTCTACATTCCCACCCATACCCCCATATCCGTGGACCGAAGAGTAGTCTACATAAGTACCATAAGCACCGGGGTGAGAATACCCTCCTTGGGGGTATTGGAACCAATCGTGAGTAAGGGAATCGGGAGGAATAGCCCCCCGACGGGCATAATCATCATACATGGGGTAAAGGCCCCTCCCTAGGTTCCTCTCAATAAGGCCAACCCTCCCATCTAGGGTGCTTAACCTAGAGTCTAGGTTTTGCATCATGCCTTCTACCCTTCCTTGCCCCGTCTCAATACGGTCTAGTTGGCTCCTAAAAGACGAAAAGTCATATGGGGCATTTGGGTCGACATTATAGTCGACCGAGGAAGTAGGAATTGTAGGCATGTCGTAGGTGAAAGGTGGGGGTGGTGTGTAGTGAGGTGAATGGTGAATGGGGGATTGGTGAGGTTGTGGTGAGGGGTGAGGTGGTTGAACCTCACCTTGACCATCTAACTCGAAGGTATAAGAGGGCTTCCCCCTCTCAAATTTGGTCAAGGCGGGGTTGGGTAAGGTAAATGCTTGGTCTCTCCTACCCGATTGTCGGTGGACAATCCACCAAGTATCACTCCCCACCGGTTGTACCCAATTCAAACTCCCAAA